TTAAAATTTGGAACAAAGTTTGCCAGGTCACGGAAGGTAGCTCCAGTGGGGCTACCTTGAGTTTCGATTTACGAAGTAAAGGGGAGGGCGGCCAGCCCCGTTACCTGATTATTCAGGAGATTGCTAGTCATTTCAGCCCCCCCCTCCGCGCCCTGCAAGCACCCTAGGAGCAGACCCAAAACATTGTAATTTACAGTCTTTTTGTCCTTTTCGGATATAGAAACTACATCTTGCAACATGGTGAAACCTGCGTAAATACGAGTGTTTTTGCTAGGTGCTGGCCAAAAAACACTGTAAATACTGTGATTTTTGCTACCAGAGGCAAAAAACATCGTAAATACCGTGGTTTTGGGCTTCCGACCCGCCAAAAACATCGGTATTTACGGTGGTTTTTTCTCCGAGAGTTGCAAACACACGCGAAAACAACCTATTTGACGATTTTTCTGCCACAAAGGGACTGACAAAAAAGCTGCAGGGGCAGCAGCAACAACAACAGCAACAGCAACAACAGCAACAACAGCAACAACAACAACACCACCAACAACACCAACAACACCAACAGCACCAACGCACCAACAGCACCAACAGCACCAACAGCACCAACAGCACCAACAACACCAACAACACCAACACCAACAACACCAACAACACCAACAACACCAACAACACCAACAACCCCAACAACCCCAACAACCCCAACAACCCAACAAACCCATCAACCCAACAACTCGAACAACGCCAACAACGCCAACAACGCCAACAACGCCAACAACACTACCACCACCACCACCAACAACAACGACAACAGCACCACCAACAACAACAACGACAACAACAACAACAACAACAACAACAAGAACAAGTGCAAACTCTAGATCGCAGTGTTCCCTGCCGGACCCGAACAGCAACCTCTGGATCGGAGTGATCCCCGCCGTACGTCAACCGCGCGCACCGGATCAGAGTGTTGCCTGCCGGACCTCAACTACAACGGATCTCCGAAGATATACCCGATAGAATGCCACAAAGAATTTCAGAAAATTTATGAGATAAAATGCGAATGCCAGATGGAATGTCAGAAAATATGTCAAAAAGTGTCGTTTGGTGGTACTTACTCGGAGAGTAATTTGTTCCGAAGATTTTCAAAAATTGATTTGAGACAGCCAAAATGACGCCTTGTGGGGCCCTGCGCGCATCATCGCCATCAGCAACAACGGAACCGACATCAGGCATTTGAACTTCGCTTCTTTTCGGTGACGCATTTTGCACCAACACATATCTACTACCAGACGATGTTATGCACAGAAGCCTTTACACAGAGCAGCGTTTACGCGCAGGTATTCTTACACAGAGAGGTTTGCGCACAGAGAAACTTTTGTGCACGGACACCTTTACACACAGAGGTTTTTACACAAAGAATAATTTTTTTTACATACCGATGCTTTATACAAAGATGTTTTTGCGCACATAAACAAAGGCACGTAGGCATTTTTACACACAGAAACTTTGCCACAGAGAAACCTTTACACAGAACAGTTTTTACACTCAGATTTTTTGGCACGAAAAAAAATAGACACAGAGAAAATAGTCCACGCAGACTGCACCAAAAAAACACACCGATTTTTTTTCACGCAGCAACTTTACCCAGAACAGTTTTCACACAGCAGAAACTCTTCCGCACAGAAACCTTTACGGGCAGATTCTTTTAAATGCACACCAATTATTACAGACAGATGGTTTATACACAGAAAATTCTCCACACAGAAGTCTTACGCACAGAAGGTTTTGCGCACAACAGTTCTTTACACACAGACGTTTTTACACACAGATGCCTTTACACGGAAGACAAATTGCAGACAGAAACTTGTGCACATTTTTACACGCAACCAGCTTTTACACAGAGAGTTTTTTCTTCCCCTTCTTGATCACTTACCTTTCGTGGTCCCCCTCTCAAGTGACTTCTACAAAGGGCGTCTTGACTGTCTCCACAGCCAGGCATATTTAAGATACATATAATATACATATAAGATACACACACATATATATATAGTGTACATGTAAAATACATATATTATACATATAATATACATAAAATAAACATATAATATACATATAATATACATATAATATACATAAAATATACATATACAGTAATATACATATAATATACATATAATATACATATATTATACATATAATATACATATAATATACACATAATATATTATAATATACATATAATATACATAAAATATACATAAAATATACATAAAATATACATATAAAGTAATATACATATAATATACATATAATATACATATTATTTACATTTAGTATACATATAATATACATATAATATAGATATAATATATATATAGATAAAATATAGATATAATATAGATATAGTATACATATAATATACATATAATATACATATAATATACATATAATATATATACAATATACATATAATATTCATATAATATACATATAATATACATTTAATATACATATATTTTGAATATAATATACATATAATATACATATAATTTGCATACAATATACATATAATATACATATAATATACATATAATATACATACAATATACACATAATTTGCATATAATTTACATTTAATATACATATAATATACATATAATATACATATAATATACATATAGTATACATATAGTATATATAATATATAATATATATATAATATTTAATATACACAATATATAATATATATTATATATATACATATAATATATATAATATATATAATATATATAATATATATATAATATATATAATATATATATAAATATAATATATATAATATATATAATATATATAATATATATAATATATATAATATATATAATATATATAATATATATATAATATGTAATATATATACAATATATAATATATATAATATATTATGTATATAATATATATATATAATATATATAATATATATAATATATATATAATATAATATATATAATATATAATATATTATATATATAATTATACATATATATATATAAAATATAAAATATATATACAATATATATATAATATATAGAATATATATAATATATATATAATATAATATATTATATTTAATATATGTAATAAATAGAATATGTATAACATATATAATATATATAATATATATAATATATATAATATATATAATATATATAATATATATAATATATATAATATATAATATATAATATATATATAATATATATAATATATAATATATATAATATATAATATATATATATAATATAATATATATAATGTATATAATATATTATATATATAATATATATTATATATATAATATATATAATATATATAATATATATAATATATAATATATATAATATACATTATATATATTTTATATTGTATATATAATATTTTATATATATTATTATATATTAAATATATTATTTAATATATATAATATGTAATATATATAATATATATAATATATATAATATATATAATATATATAATATACATAATATATATAATGTATTTAATATATAATATATTTAATATAATATATATAATATATAATATATACAATATAATATATATATATAATATATTATATATATAATATATAAAATATATATAATATATATAATATATATAATATATATTATATATTATATATATTATATATAATATATATTATATATAATATATAATATATATAATATATAATATATATAATATATATAATATATATAATATATATAATATAAATAATATATATAATATAAATATATAAAATATATAGTATATATGATATATATAATATAAATATATAAAATATATAGTATATATAATACATATAATATACACAATATGCAATATATATATATATATAAAATATAATATATATAATATGGATATAATATATAATATATATAATATAGAATATATATATAATATATATATATATATTTTTTAATGTATTACATATATTATATATAAAATACATAATTTATATATATATATATACATCAATATATGTAATATATATAATATATATAAGATACACATAGTATACATGTAAAATACATATATTATACATATAATATGCATATAATTTACATATAATATACATATAATATACATATAATATACACATATTTTACATATAATATACATATAATATAGATATAATATACATATAATATAGATTTAACGTACATATAATATACATATAACATACATATAATATAGATACAATATACATATAATATAGATACAATATAGATATAATATAGATATAATATACATATAATTTGCATATAATATAGATATAAGATAGATATAATATAGATATAATATAGATATAATAAAGATATAATATAGATATAATATACATATAATATACATATAATATGCATATAATATACATACAATATACGTATAATATACATATAATATACATATAATATAGATATAATATACATATAAAATACATATAATATACATATAATATACATATAATATAGATATAATATACATATAATACACATATAATATGCATATAATATAGATATAATATACATATAGTATACATATAATTTACATATAATATACATATAATGTAGATATAATATACATATAATATACATATAATATAGATATAATTTACATATAATATACATATAATAATATAGATATAATATAGATATAATATAGATATAGTATAGATATAATATAGATATAATATAGATATAATATAGATATAATATAGATATAATATAGATATAATATAGATATAATATACATATAGAACATCATGTTTTTCAGCCTTCACATCTCCGGCACTAAACATACTACTAGAACGATATCCAGCGTTGCATCAACTTTGTGTGCGAACGTTAATTTCCTACCCCAACTCACAAGACTCCACACGTTAAGATCATGTTGTAAAATCGACGTACCTTTCGTTTTTGGCCAAGGACTGGCCTCAATCAATCGAGGAGCCTTTTGGCTGCTTATTTGAAGCTGGATGTGGTTGGTTCTTACTAGACTTGGGAGATCTTTCGGTTCTCGCGTTTGACAGTAGCCTTTCTTTGAAGGCAAAATACATTTGTCTGGTGCGACGTCCTGAAGATGTATTTCGAAGCTGGTGGCGCTTTTTGCGCGACAAAGATGTACCTCCATTGCAGAGCCCTGATTATAATGGTAGTTTGGGGGTGTCAGCCGCTCTTCCAGATTTGAGCGTGAAAGATAGCGTAGCGGCTGCGATTCTGATTTGCTTGTCGGCCAAGGACTTACAAATCAATATCTGAGTTTGTTTTTGACAAGGAGCCTAGAGCTGCAGTGTTCCACAACCCCACTGAACAGCAATTCGTATTCCGCAAACTTGGCCACAGCGACTTTTCCACGAGTTTGCTCCGAGGACTATGTTGCAGAAGGCATGCGGTTTGGAGCTTCTCTTTGGGTCTCATCCTTGGCTCAGTGCTCCATCAGAAGATAAGCACTGTTTCAGATGTATCACGAGGCATGCGCACTTTGCTTCGAAACTGCAACGCTCACCCAGGAATACTACGTAGAGTTCTATAAGTGCATTGACCTTCCAGAAGTCTTAGTCCTGTGTTATGAGGACTTGCAGGAGAGTGTTGCAGGCCCCAATACCAAACACCATTTTCAATCAGTCTTTGGGTTTGATGTTTCAGATTGGAGTGTGTCCGGCCGGGTATTCATGTAATGCACAAAAATGCCCTGAACATGCAAATATTTTCAATTCGTAACCTATTTGTAATATTTGTATCTGTGTTTAGTGGGCTTTGAGCATGCAAGGGTGAAGTGGAAAGTGCAGGTCTCTAGACTGAACATTGAGGTAGGGCAACAGACGCTTCCCAGTTCTGACAAAAATATAGTATCCTGTGAACTAGCTCCGAAATAGAAAGTTACCCTCAGAATTATGGAGTTCCTTCTCTGGATTAAGGTAGTATTCAGAAACACCACTGTATTCAGAAGCTACACTTCAGAAACTCAACCTGGTATTCAGAAACTATGTCGGATTCAGAAACTGGACATCGTATTCAGAAACTATCATTGAGGTTGCAAAACGCTCGGTATTTGAATTTCAAAACCGCAGCCACTTTCAGCCACTCGAGTGGCCGCAAGTGGCCGCAAGTGGCCGCAAGTGGCCGCAAGTGGCCGCAAGTGGCCGCAGGGGGCTGCTAGAGCAAGTGGCCGGAAGTGGCTGCAGTGGGCTGCTAGAGCAAGTGGCCACAGTGGGCTGCTTGGCATTGGATTGCAAACGTCAGTCCCGATTGCTCTTCTCCTCAAACCTTGAAAAAAAGTTTTCCCGCGAAAATATTTTTTCAATTTGCCTTGCAACGGGATTCTAGGAGCTGCTAGAGCAAGTGGTCTTGCGGCCACTTGCAGCCATTTGCAGCCACTTGCAGCCACTCGAGTGGCCGCAAGTAGCCGCTTGAAACGAAAGGAAGGAAGTAATGAATAAAGGGCCAGACGTGAAACAAAAGGAAGACAGTAACGCATAAAAAGCCAGAGATGAAACGAAAGAGAGACGGTAACGCATAAAAGGCAATAACGGAAGAAAGGTCAGAGGTGAAGCGAAGGGTAGATTGTAACGAATAAAAGGCCAGAACAAATGAAAGGAAAGAGTTGAACGGAAAGGAAGGAAGTAACAAATGAAAGGGGAGAGGTGAAACCAAAAGAAAATAACGAATGAAAGGAAAGAGTTGAACGAAAGTAACGACCGAACGGAAGGAAAGAGTTGAAACGGAAGGAATGACCGAACGGAAGGGAAGAGTTGAAACGAAAGGGAAGAAGTGGCAGACATTGAGTTGAAACGGGAGGAAGGACATAACGAAATGAACAACTTTAAACGAAGGGACGCAGCAACGAACGGGAAGTAAGGGTTGAAAGGAAATGAAGGAAGTACCGAGTGAAAGGGAAGAGTTGAAACGAAAGGAACAACGTAAGGAATGGAAGGGAAGTGTTGAAGCGAGAGGAACGACGAACGGAAAGAAGGAGTTGCATTTTCTACTATCATTGATGCTACGCTCAAAGATATTCTTTTCAAGCTTCCAACATCAGCGATTCTACGCTCTAAGATCTTCTCCTCAATTTTCTACCATCATTAATGCTACGCTTTCAGATCTTCGCTTTACTTTTCTGACATCATCGATGCTGCGCTCTAAGATCTTCTCTTGATTTTTCTCACATTCTACCCGCATTGATGCTATGCTTTTCATTTTGCCATCATTGATGCTACGCTCTAAGATCTTCTCTTCAATTTGAAACATGTTTGATGTTACGCTCTAAGATATTCTCTTCAATTGTCCAACATACTTGAGGCTACGTTCCAAGTTCTTTTCTTCAATTTTCAAACATCTGCGTTTCTACGCTCTAAGATCTTCTCATCAATTTTCTACCATCATTGATGCTACACATTCAGATCTTCGCTTTACTTTTCTGACATCATCGATGCGCTCTAAGATCTTCTCTTGATTTTTCTCACATTCTACCCGCATTGATGCTATGCTTTTCATTTTGCCATCATTGATGCTACGCTCTAAGATCTTCTCTTCAATTTGAAACATGTTTGATGTTACGCTCTAAGATATTCTCTTCAATTGTCCAACATACTTGAGGCTACGTTCCAAGTTTTTTTTTCAATTTTCAAACATCTGCGTTTCTACGCTCTAAGATCTTCTCATCAATTTTCTACCATCATTGATGCTACGCTTTCAGATCTTCGCTTCACTTTTCTGACATCATGCGCTCTAAGATCTTCTCTTGATTTTTCTCACATTCTACCCGCATTGATGCTATGCTTTTCATTTGCCATCATTGATGCTACGCTCTAAGATCTTCTCTTCAATTTGAACCATGTTTGATGTTACGCTCAAGATATTCTCTTCAATTGTCCAACATACTTGAGGCTACGTTCCAAGATCTTTTCTTCAATTTTCAAACATCAGTGATGCTGCGCTCCAAGACCGTTTCTTCAAGTTTCCAACATAATTGACGCGACGCTCTAGATGTTCTGTTCAATTTTCTGACATCATCAATGCTACGCGCCAAGATCTTTTCAAGTGTCCAACATCACTGACCCTTTGCTTGACGATCTTTTTTCAATTTTCTACAGTAGCATCATTGATGCTACGTTCTTGGATCTTCTCTTCAACTTTCTACTATCATTGATGCTACGTGCCAAGGTCTTATCTTGTATTGTCAAACATCATTGATGCCACGCTCTAGGATCTAATCAATTTTCAAACACTTCATCATCATTGATGCTTTACTCCAAGTTTGTCTCTTCAACTTTCTAACATTCTAGGATCAGTGAAAAGATGGTCTAAGCTTTTCTCTTGAATTTTCTCACATTCTATCCTGATTGATGCTACTCTTCAAAGTTCTAGCAAAATTGTTGCTACGCTCCTAGATATTCTCTTCAATTTTCTTGAATAGTACTGCATTGATGCTACTCTCCAACATCTTTGTTCAGCAACATCTTTCTTCAATTTTCTAGCATCATTGATCCTCTAAGGTGTTCTCTTCATCAACTTTCAAACATTATACCAGCACTGACCCAACGCTCTAAGATCTTCTTTTCATTTTGCTAACATAATCGACGCTACGCTCTGAAATCTTCTCTTCAACTTTCTGCTATCATTCATGCTATGCTCTGAGATATATTTTCCATTTCCATCATTCTACCATCAAGTTGCTACGCTCAAAGATCTTCCCTTCCATTTTCAAACATTGCACCATCATTGAGTAGCTGCGAGCGGCTGCGTGCTGCCAGAAATGAATGGCAGACTTGAAACCTTGAAAAACATGTTTTGCAGGAAAATGTTTTTCTTCAAGTTTGGAGGTTGGATAGGTAGGATTTTATCGTACCTCACGCCGGACCCGGATAGTCAAAACCATGTGGCAAACCATATACCACCCACGTCTTCCATAGCGCTTGGAAGATCTTGTGGCGTAGCATCAATGGTGGTAGAATGTTGGAAAATTAAAGAGAAGATCTTGGAGCGTACCATCGAGTGGCCGCAAGTGGCCGCAAGTGGCTTCTGGAGCAAGTGGCGGCAAGTGGCCGCAAGGGGTCTCTGAAGCAAGTGCATGGCAGCCACTTGCAGCCACTCGAGTGGCCGCAAGTGGCCGCACATGGCCGCTTTCCGCGATTTCAATTTCCACCCTCAAAGCAACCCCTCTGGAAACTATTTTGCTCGTATTCATCAGAAATTTTGTCGTTGTATTCAGAAACTAGTTTCCGCGGTATTCAGAAATTATATTATGCGTATTGAGAAACTATTTGTCGTCGTATTCAGAGACTATTTTGTCGTATTGAGAGACTACTGTAATACCGCCAGTGCACCACTACTGTTCAGGCACTAGGTGATTAGGGTTTAATTCAGGGTTTATATATGGTTTATTTACGGTTGGATTATGATTTAGGTAGGGTTGCTTCGGAGTTTATCTAGGATGCTAATTTAATTTGAGTTTTTTTTGGGTCTGGAGGCTTGGCTTTTGGCTTTTGGATTTTTGCTTTTGGCTCTTTGCGTTCGATTTCTCGATGGTTTTCATTATTTTTTCCTTGGTTTTCATCGATTTTTCGATGTTTTTCAACGATCTTTCCCTGGTTTTCATCGGTTTTTCCATGGTTTTCATCGGGTTCTCCCTGGTTTTCATCGGTTTTTCAGTGTTTTCAATCAATTTTTCCATGTTTTTCATCGATTTCCCAACAGCTATTATTGTTTTTCTGTGCTTTCACCGATTTCTTCTTCTTGCGCGGTTTTCATTTTCATCATGACATCTTTTTGGTGACGGCGCCCATGGAGGGGCGGGACTGTCGTCACTTTTGCACATTTTTTTTTTTGGGGGGTTTGGGGGAGGTGTAATACCGTCCTGTGGTCTGTGTTGTCAATAACGATTTCCTGCTACGTTGTAACATCTTCTGTAAGTAACTTGCAGGACGTTCCTGGTACGTTGTAACATCTGCGCCAAGTAGCTTTCAAGACATTCCTGATACGTTGTAGCGTCTTCGTTAAGTAACTTGCAAAACGTTCCTGATACGTTGTTACATCTTCGTCAAGTAACTTGCCAGACGTTCCTGATACGTTGTAACATCTTCGTCAAGTAACTTCCAAGACGTTCCTGCTACGCTGTAACATCTTCTGTAAGTAACTTTCAAGACGTTCCTGATACGTTGTAACATCTTCTTCAAGTAGCTTTCAAGCCGTTCCTGATACGTTGTAACATCTTCTTCAAGTAGCTATCAAGACGTTCCTGATACATTGTAACACCTTGGTCAAGTAACTTGCAAAACGTTCCTGATACGTTGTAACATCTTCGTCAAGTAACTTCCAAGACGTTCCTGCTACGCTGTAACATCTTCGTCAAGTAACTTGCAAGACCTTCCTGATACGTTGGAACATCTTCTTCAAGTAGCTTTCAAGCCGTTCCTGATACGTTGTAACATCTTCGTCAAGTAACTTGCAAGACGTTCCTGATACGTTGTAACATCTTCGTCAAGTAACTTGCAAGACGTTCCTGATACCTTGTAACGTCTTCTTCAAGTAACTTTCAAGACGTTCCTGCTACGCTGTAACGTCTTCTGTAAGTAACTTGCAAGATGTTCCTGATACGTTGTAACATCTTCGTCAAGTAACTCGCAAGACGTTCCTGACACGTTAACATCTTCGTCAAGTAACTTGCAAGACGTTCTTGATACGTTGTAACAACTGCTTGAAGTAACTTGCAATAATTGTCCCAAATGGATCCAAAAGATCACGCGTAGCAGGCACACGGTTTATTGACCGAACATGGGATCATATGAAATCATACATCCCATGTAGTCTCTCTTCAAGGAAATTAAATGCACGTGGCACAACAGCTGCCTTGATGAAACACTGCCTACTATGGCAATGGTTGCACGAAGTGTTAGCTCCTGGCTACTCCCTATGGGATCACTTAGGAAAACTTTGTAAAAAACACAACATGGCGTCTCGCATGAAGATGAAAAAAAAGTGACGATTGTCCACTTTCAGAAACGCTGAAAGCGCCGCACTTTTACAGGCGCCGTAACCATATTTTTTTGTTTTTCCATCGATTTTCTCGATGGTGTTCATCGTTTTTTTGATTGCTGTTATCGATTCTTTCATGGGTTTCATCGATTGTTTCCATGGGTTTCAGTTTCATCGATGTTTTCCATAGTAGGTTTTGCCCTTTTTTCCACGGGTTCAATTTGTCAGATTTTTTTTTTAAAATTCAAACTTGCACATTTCTAAGTACACTCCATAGCGCATGCATATTTATATTTTGCACACTTTCTATTCTTAGATACAGTAAACCCTAAACCAACCCTGAATCCACCTTAATCCAGTCCCAAATAAAGCCTGAACCAACCCTAAAGAAATCCTAAACCAACACTATGAATGACAACAGACAATGAAACTATTTGCACCTAAGCTTAACAGAGTGCACCAGTCTGCATTTTACATGTTCACGAGGTGCATCTTGCACGTGATATACACCATGAGTACCAAATTCAACTTACAGCATTACATATGAGAATAGTTATTGTCATTTTGCTTTGGGTGGAAGGCGCTGTGCCCTCCCCCCAATACCCCCCCTCCCGCTTTCTTACATTTAGACCCAAACTTGCACACCTGTAAATACATTACTCTACATATAGATATATATATATTATACAATTATATAATTTGATATTATATAACATGGAAAAACAATGAAAACCAAGGAAAAATCAATGAAACCCATGGAAAAATCGAGAAAACCATCAAGAAATGGATGAACACCATCGACAAAATCGATACAAAACGATGGAACAAATAAATCGATGAAAACTTGCGAAATCGCTGAAAACCGTGGAAATCGATGAAAACCATAAGACAAAGAAAACCAATGAAAAATGAATGACCGCTGCCTCCAGACCAAAACAAAACAACATATATCCCGAAACAACAAAAAAATAATTCAGCACCCGTTTATTAGGGTCGGTTTGGGGTCTATTTATTTAGGGTTCATTTAGGTTTGTCCAAATTAGACGTGTTTCTTTGGTTGTCGAAGCAGACGTTTTAGTTGTCAAGCCAGCCTTCGACCATGACTGGTTGCTTCTCGTGCATTTTTTTAGAGATCATCATCTCGGTAGTTTCCAGCTTCTGTCACCTCAGTTTTTGAGTACGCTGTTTGTAGTTTCAGAATTCAAGTCTCCGAGCACAACTCTCCAGTTTCCGAATACAACTTGCCGGTTTCCGAATACAAACGTCCTTCCTCTGCCTCAAGTGAGTCCATGTCCCTGAGGGATGAGTGATTTGGATTGATTTGGCACTTTGACCTTTGCTGATTTTTCTGCCTCATCTGTATTTTTGTCCTCGGACTGGATGAAACGGAAGGCTCTCCAGTTGAGCGCGCCACTCTGGCAGGTCACCTGGACCTGATCTCCACATTCTTGAGCTGTGCGCCCTTGAGCCACGAAGTGACTTGCAAGATCTTGCAAGAAGGTCACGGTCTCCCTGGATGGTTGTCACAGGGTCACATGTTTTCATGTTCTGTTGATATGGCAGTGTTCTGCAAATGATTTTTGCAATGACTACAGTACTTTCATATATTGTTGTACGGGCCGTATCCGTCCAACTATTGGGATGGATTTGGATCTATTTGGCAGTTTGGACGAGGTCACATTACTGGGCCGCACCCCAGTCTCGCAGCCAAGGAGAGGGGTCGTGTACTCCAGCTTTGCAGCCGAGACAGCATGGCGGCTGCAGACCATAAGTTCGATGAGAGCTGGACCTACAAAGAGCTCAGGTTCCTTGTTTGTTTCGGACGACCCCTCGTGTTTCTGCGGTAGTTCACTCACATAAGTTAAAGGTGTAAAAACCGTCAAGGAGGATCATGTTGGAAATGTTACAATGTTTGATTTTATACATTTTTGATCATTTTTACACCCCTGATGACCCTCCATGATAGCGGATGAAGGAAACGCCTCTGTGTTGCAACAGCTTGTGCCCCAGCAGGCGATTGGGCCGCTCTCCCGACGGTGCCACTTCATTCCGTCCAGCCACTCGCGTACATCTACAGCAGAGTCACGAAGGCTTCCATGCTTATTGATGCTTATCAAATCTTATCAATGCTTGATGTGTTTGCCACAATTCTACCCACAAGCACTGCCAAAGAATCAATTTGCACCCTTTAGCTTCTTGCGAACACGTATCTTCAATCTCTATTGACTCACTTGGTTGACTCCGGTGTTTGACGTGGTTGCAGTTTGTTTTGCTGATCAGGCTTCAATCAGTCTGCCAAAGAGTTTCTGGAGCAACAATGGAAAGCGGTGGTGGGATCTGTCACGGGTACTCAGATTGAATTGGTGTTATTGACTTCGACGGATTGGCTGTGTGGCTTCGTGTGACTTCGTATGACTTCGTGTGACTTCGTATGACTTCGTGTGACTTCGTGGTTTTGCGGCTTCATCCATTCCGTTTCGCAAGGTTTCGCAAGGTTTTGGTTCCTTGTTTGGTTATTTTTGTTCGTCATTGCTTGAAACTCTTCTTCTTGGCCGACTCTCTCAGACCATCCAGAACTCAGGCCTTCAAAACTATGAAGATCTTGTAGAAGTTGTGAGGGCAGAGCTGCAAAAGCGTGCAGGGCAAAATTGCCAGAGAGACTGTGACTTGTGACTTGCACTCATCTTTTTGCAGTGCCTCTCAAGTTTGTCATACTTGAAGATCAGCATTTTTTCATAGCGATCAAACAACACCCGCTGGGCAGTCTTTGGAGCACGCTCAGAAACGAGGAGCGACCATTTACGCTGAGTGGCCCGTCTTGACAGAATTAAGAATGGGGGGTACACACTGTGGGACATACACACCACACATACCGAAAGGATGGTTTCGGAGACTCTTTGACGAGCTTGCACTTGAGCAGGTACTTGGGAGGTGCCTACACTACGGATGCATATGACATGACTGCTCCACATCCAAAGGCCAATGCCTTTATATGTGGAATTGCCACTCTGTCCACTGTCAACTTCTTGCGCCAAGTGTGCATGTAAAAAAGTGAATTCAATAGTCAGCCTGGTTTTCCACAGTTTGTGCCAGGGTGATGGTGTGGCACGGTGCATCAAAACAGCAATGAAAAATGCTGGGGTGGAGCCAGAGGAGGTGCCTCACTGGGCCTTACAACCCCTGGGCCCATGTACTGTTTGAAGAATTTTCAACATATCTCAATCATCCAAAATCATTCAACTTGTTAAAAATTTAAAACCCATTCTTTTAACTGCTGTGAAAGCTTTCTAAAACAATCCGATTCTCTGGATTCTTTGGAGCCAGTGATGCCCGCAGAGCCAGTGATGCTTTGCAAATGGCGAAGCTTGGGAGGTTGGCTACTTGAATTGCCATGGTACGTCCACTCCAGCTGGAGACATGGCGGAGGTGGGCTTCAAAATCCTATCAGTTTTGAGTTTGAAGAATCAGATTCGCAAAGAAGGGTTATATAAGTTATATATCAAAATATATCAATACATATCAATATAATTTAATTATACGATGTAGAACAATGTAGAATACTTCAAGATCGTGCTTTGATAATCTTTGATATCATTTCAAGTTTCCTCTAAAAGCTTATTGTTATCTTGTGTGAAACGAATCATGAAGGATCAGACATCTGTGTTTTCTTTGTTAACTTGTGAGGTCAGGGCGATTGAGCGAGCCTTCGACCACAAAACTGACAGCCTCATTGCAAGCCAGAGCATGGTTTGATTTGAGAAAGCTTTAGGCTAACTCGTTACTTGATAGCTTGAAGGATCATAACATGCAACGGAAAGCCTGTGGAATTCCAACCAACAGCTTAGGACCCCCTGGCTCTTTCCCACAGACTGCCAAGAAAGAACTTGCTCCGGCCTTTTCCACATGGATATTACATGATATTTGACCCATTTGTATGCGATTTGGCATCTCATGTACATGTAAATCTACCATAGAATCTAGTAGAATCTAGACCGTATATTTGAGACATTCTAGGACCATATGGAATCTCTTATCATGTGCTATACAGAACTTGTCTTTGGCCATTTCCCACTGCTTCAGAGCTTCAGCCAGGTGAACAGCTCCAAGTCCATGATTGGACACTGTTTGGGAGCAGCTGCTGGAGTTGAGGCTTGAACTTCTTGAATCCACGACTATTGGAATACTATGAAGCAAACAAACCAATCTGCACTCCGAGAGTCAGTTGCTGTCGAGTCATTTGTATTCATTCGTTGTACTCAAAATCATGGTACGTAAACTCAAGCCTGTCTGAAGGGAGAAAGAACAGCATCTTGTCTTGTTGCCAATCAAGTCAATCAAGTCTCCAGCTTCCAAGATCTAACCAGGCAGTCGTCACTGTCCAAGCCTTGAAGCATCGCAAAGCGACTTGGCTACAGAGCCGCAACAGCTCTCATAATCAACAGGGATCCTTCAGATGAAATGCATTGGCAGCCATTAGCACATGGTAAACATTGATAAATTTGCACGGATGGACATCATTGTAGAATCTTATTCACTTGCAACAATTGCAACATTAACGAAGGAGCTCGGAATGCTTTGGCTTCTTGGTGCTTCTACATCTGTCAGTTTTTGTCAGCCTGATGTTCCTTCTACTTGGAGCATTAGGGGCCTTCTACAGGTTCATCCGACCATCAACCTCGAGGAAAAGGAGGAGGATTTTAACTTGACGACACCATCAGAGGCAGAGCTGTCATGCGATGCAAAAGCAGACCAGTCCTTGTGCAATATTCTGTTTCAAATTCAATAACAGCAGCAATTAGACGTCATACCAGACTCTGGAATCGTCGAACAGTTTTGTCCCTTAGAGGGAATATGGTACCCGGGAAGCAGGATCGATCGAAGTCTGATATTTTGTTTTTCTTTCACCATACATAAGAGTGCCACTGCATGCGACCACCACGGAATGTGATGGTGGTTTCGCATGATGCTTCAAGTGTGGAAGGCTATGGATCTGCCAGATTTGAAAGTAGCCGCAAGCAACAGCTTTGGCCCGACTCCAAGTCTCATTGAGGTTGTACTGTCTTAGCATGTCCTGTCATTTGCCAGTCTGAAAGCAGTTCTGAAAGAGTGGAGGAGCCAAGTTTGCGGACAACCTAATGCAGGTCTGCAAATCCGTGCTTTGTTGAGAACATTCGCCTAAGGTTTCGGAGGTCACAACAGCTGTGTCATTTTCAGGAGGTGGGCCTGGGACACCTGGGATCTGGGTGAGGTCTCTGAATCTGAGAGTGTCCAGTCTCGATAAACGGAGGTGGGAAGATTGAACTGAAGCTATCTGAAGCTTCCGGCTTAGAATCGTTCAAGTGGCATACAGCGGCATACACATTGGAAACAAGGCCAGTTTGCGACACTGCGAGATTGAACTGATTGAACTGAGTAGATACAGGCAATCACACGGCGGCACACTTCATGCGCTTTATTCTCAGGCATAGATCCACAGCTGCTAAGGTGTGCGGTGTACTCTGCAGGCAAGATGCCCAAAGAAGGCGGCTGGCAGAGAGTCACCCACAAATAGATTTTCGATTTTTCGTTCTTTTAAGTCAAACTACAGAGCGACTTTCTCTGCTTGAGTTTTACACCATGAATGTTGATCTTTTATGCTGGTTCTGGGACGAAGTCAGTAAAGATAATTTCAGAGGGAGTCGATCTGCCACGCTGCAGCTGCAGCTTGCACTTTCTTCGTTATTTTCCTGCACTTCAGTGCAGTTCATATTTTCCAACCTGTTATTTCAATCTTCCGTATTTTCCACAGTGACAACACGACTCCTTTGCGCTCTCCCTGATGGTGCTGGAGCAATCTGGAGGTCAAAGGCCCTGCAAGTTCGCTTTTTTACACGCCATTACGCTTCAGACATGTAGGGTTGGCATCGTTGCATTGCAAGCATGCAGGTGAGGACCGTGCTTTTGCCCTCTGTTTGGCTCAAGAACTTTTTGTGTGCCCCACTGGCCTGATGGAGAGATGACAAGCTTCAGTAACTGCAGTACAAAGGTCGAATATTCAACAATTGTAACTGAACTTCAAGCACTGACTCTCTGTTAGAGTACACAACTGCTTGGCTTGGCTTTGATTTGTAAACTCTTGCAGAACAAGCCATTGGACAGCTTGTCATATTTCTTTGTTGTGAAGGCGTTTTTATTTAGCGTCTTTGCATTTGGACCAAGAGTTCGCCTTCGGACACCAGTGTTCCTGAAAAGCTGTGAGGCTGGATGTGCTGTTCCAAACCCCAAAAACAAGGGAAAATGGAACATACCACGAAACATATTCTGGAGACTTCGCATAGGCAGTGCAAACGAATCTTCAGCATCTCCAATGAGCCCAAGTTACAATTGCACCAGAATTCGTTGAAATAATCGAATTCGTCGACCGCTTCATCCTTGATCCACCCACATTCTGGCGTCTGAAGTTGCCATCGGCTTTAATCAGGCTACGGGCCATGGCACAGCTGGCTGCAGTGCTTCGGGTTTCCATTGCTTGGCTTTTGGCAGTCGCTGCAGACCCTGCACAAAGGACCCGAAGTTTCTGTTGGTCGAGCGCGTCACACTTTTGGCTCAGCAGATTTTTATATCCGATGCATCTCGGATGAGTTGAAGGCGTTGCACTGTTGCGAAAATTTGCAAAATGTTGGCTGAAACTGCGCAAGCCAAAGGAACTCAACGAACCTTCGAGGAGGTAGCAACGGTAGTGCTGCTGGTGTGGATCTTAGTGGATGCAAACTACAGCATGGTCACATCTGGTGGCAGGCTTCAAGGTGAGCATGTGCACTGCCTTAGACAACTGTCGGAAATCCTTCGACCATGTTAGACCTTGGACTAGCCTGGACTACCAACTCTCACTAATTCTTACCGATATTCTTATCGATTCTTACTGGAGTCTTACCAATTTTTACTGATTCTCATTGATTCTTATTGATTCTTATCGGTTCTTGTCGATTCCTGCCAAGCCTTCGAGGTGCCGATTCTGACTGCAACAGTGTTCCAACTTGGTCTTCATGCATGCGAAGAAGGTAGATCCCAGTGAATCGGCATTTGCTCATTTTATGCCTGGTTGAGGCAAGCATTAGCTAACGAAAGTTTGCTGCCAAATGCACTCTTTAAAGGTCAATCTCTGCATTTACCATTTCTTGAGGTGTTGTGCACCCGGAGACCTTTGCTACCGGAAGGTTCCAAGCCTGACTTTGTTCTCGGCAAAGTTCATGGGGGACTTGTCCGACGTGTGTACTCTCGATTCCGACCAGGATGCGCACTATGCCCAATGTCAGCCCGAAGGGCACTGTTCTGAACATGCTGGTTGGAAGCTAGTCGCAACAGTGGGCGCCAAATCTCCTGACCTTGGCAACCCGAGGTCATAAAATACATCAGTGTGCTCAAGTTTGACAGATGGGATCTGTGGTAAATTTGGTGAAGATGGTACAACATCGTCTCAATTGGAAATGTTTTTGGTCGCACGAGAAAATGACATTTTCATACATTTTCGTACATTTTCATAATTTGTGATTACGCTTGCGCACAGACCAGTCTTGATTTCTGGGTGGTTTGGGGTGGGCGTGAACCCAAGTGAACTCCCAGGTGCTTTATTGCCGGGAACAGATATGAGGGGGATGGAGTAGATAGAATGGAAACACACAGTTCACAGTTTGAAGATGCTTCTGATGTTGTGGACAGATTGGGTTGGTTGGCTTGCGTTAAGATAAATTCCATTTATATCCATTTATATAGTCAATCTAGCTGCGAAACGTCCAATTCTCTCCCTTTATTAGAGATGTGCTAGAAACTTCCTGTGGAGGTGGGAGGCATCTCCTGGTCTCTTAAAGGCATGCTTGAGCAGAACACCTTGAATTTCAAGAAATGTCTCAGAGCATAAAAGCCAAAGTACGGTTTTTGCCCTGTGTGGTATGGTTTTTCTGAAAGATGACGTTCGGAACCGCACTCCCAAACCAGAAAACCCAACTCAGAAAAAACACACTTGTACTAGTACACATCCCTAGAGCGAATGAACCTCAGAACACGTGAGAAAATGTAATAAGAAACCAACCAGGGAAGACATTCTTGGCCGATCAAGACCAATGGACCAAGGACCTGCAAAGTTCTCTCGCCATGGGAGGAATGCTCCGCTCCTAGCTCTTGCAATGGCTTTCATAGCACAGGCATGTCTAGAGACTAATTAAATTGGACAGCGTTCACTTGCTCACATTCTAAAGGTTCAGCGTTTGAATCTGTTTGAATCTAAGTACTGCATGTACATGCACCCCGGTGTACATGTTCAGCAAGGTCAGGATCTGAACAGCGAATGCGAACGCTTCAAGAATAGAGGTGAGTGCGAAGACAATCCGGAGTGACTTGCCTGAAGAGATGCCAAGTGATCAAAGTGATCTTCTGGAATACATTACATCATTATATAATATACTAATGCTCAAGCTTCCCCGGAGCTTCCCCACTGCATTTCCTCCTCATTTCCTCAACCCGACATTCTCAAGCAATCTCAAGCAATCTCAAGCAATCTCAAGCACATCTCTCATTATCTCTCCCCAGGTGGATGTTGTGGTGCGGCTCTCAAGTCATTGACACAGGTGTACATGAATTCATCATGGATAGATCATGAACACATCATGAATACATGTGAAGGCACATGGCACACATGTGCAAAGCTGTACATCAGGATGGTAAAATTTAGAGCCAGCTAGGACACTTCCTGGGTGTGCAGGTCTTGAATTGTCAAACCCAGAAACTCAAGGATGAGCCTGGTCACCCCACAAATGATCAGCTCTCCGGTGTTTCTTATGTTCCCTTGAGTACTGAAACTGAATCTTTGTCCTTGCTGAGTGTAAGGTTTTGCAGGCGCACCTGTGGCCAATGTGATTTGTGACCACTTGGATGAATTTTTCCACAAACGCGGGTTTTGAGGCTCAGGCTGAGGTGCATAGATCCTCTTTGCGTTGCACCTTTTTGAAGATTTTGAAGCAAAGCACAAACACGCCTTGATTGCGACATATTGCGACAAAAGATATGATTAATACGAATTAATACGTTATTGAGATGCAAATGGTGCAAATCCACTCGGAGCCTGCCTGCAGAGTACTTTGTGAAGCTGGTGCCGCCTGAGATCCTCAGGTGCCACTAGTTCTCCATGCCGTAGATGAATTCACGACGGCTTCAAATTGCAGCCAGTTGTGTGTGCATCTTGGGATTTGCATGGCTCCTCCCCGCGACAATTGCGGATGGTATTGCCATTTACAAAAATGACGAAAATTGAGGAGTGTTTGCCGTGAGTGACACCGTGAGTGTTTTTGTGGCGCAAAGCTTTCGCCACATCCGCGCGGCGCAGTCCAAGACTCGCTGTCACTGTGACTTGGTGTTGTGCTCTGGCTTACAAGCGGCTGACAATGCGTTTCAAGAAAAGCTCTGAAACTGGCCAAGCAGCTCGGAGCAGATCCAAGCAGAAGCAGGTCCAAGCAATACAAGCTGCAAGTCTTGCAGTCTCTTGGATGGCTGGTTCTATATAAGTAAGTGTCCAAAGAAGATTTTCTGCGGGAAATGCTTTGCTTGGACTCTCTTGAGAGTTTCTTGCCTGTCGGGTAGATGAGTGAAGCCAGAAATTCTTCCAGCAGAGGCAGTCCCAATGAATTTTCAAGCATTTATGGAATGCGTAAGAATGCGTAAGAATACGAAAGGGAATTCTGATGTGAAACTAGACGCAAGTGTTCTGTTCTTATCTTTTCTTTGTAAATAATCAATGTTTTCGATGCGGAGCATTTGACATCTAGAGTCGAAGGGACCAAGGGAGCTTGTTTTGCTTGTGTTGGACGATTCTGCCGGTTCCTTTGTGACAGGCTTAATTTGTGGCTGCCTGAACAGCATCTGTCCATCAAACTAAACATGAACGATTTGCCGTCAAAAAAATCGATTTGATGGTCAGACAGCCAGCCATGTTGGTAGCTTCCTCGATTCGCCAGGATGAGCTTGAAGTGTACAAAGCTAGTCTTGAGGAAGAATCAGAAGCTTCGCTTGGACAAGAGGAGAACTTGAAAAAGTCCGTTGCATGGCAGGATATGTCAGGATGAATATGGACGCTTTTGCTTTCCACCCTTCCACACGAAGACTTCCAGACTATCTGCGTCATGGTGTAGCAACTACTTTGATGATCTTTGATGTAGGGTCCTTACATAGCCTCCGTGGCCCTTTCGTCTCGAGATGTCTTGCAATATCTTGGGGTGCAGCATCTTTTGATGTTGTGCACACTTACATTGACCTACGTTGTTGAGTTGCACCCAGAACTTACATTGAAATTTATTCTCGTTGTTTCGCCCAATGTTTATCCGCTGAGTGTTTACTTGCATTGAGATTGCGGACAAGATTTGTTCGACAGCATTTCCTCCGGAGATACACAGGGTTGGATTTCATTTTTGCACCACACGGGAAGGGCCCCGGTCTTATTTTCGAAGCCAGTCTTGTTCCTCACAGTTTGCACAGTTTGCACGCATGAGACACTGGATTTTCATGGATCATCACAGTGGATTTGCCAACCTGCCACGGTGTCTCAAGAATTGGCCGATGCGATTTATCGGAGATTTGTTGTAAGTTGTTAAGTTAATTTAAGTTAATTTAAGTTATAAGTCCTGATGATTTCACCATCTGATCGTTCGCCTCCAATTCAGACCAGTCCTTGCGCCTGCTTATGATTCGATTGTGACGGCATGCGAGCAAAATGAGGAAACATCATGCCCATAATGCAAGTGATACCGTTGTGCGATCTCTGACATCAGAGTTTGCAATATTTTGTAATGGAATCGCCTCTTCATTGTATCAATTGTATCCCAAAAGATCTCGCCAAAACGAATCGAACATTGGCGTTTGGTCGAACATGGTGCCTTCATGAATCATTTGCACAATGGGCCAGTCGCCTGGACGACAGGTGGGACGTGGTGGGACACAGTGGGACCTGAAAAGCACCAATATTTTTGTTTTTTTTCAGGTTTCTGCCAATTTCTGTCAATTATTTATGTCAATTTTTGAAAAGTCACTTTTGTGATCTTTTGTGTCATTTTTCATTAGTTTTTTGGTGTTACAGGGAGAGAGGCAGAGATTTCTTGATGTACTCCTTTTGAGGCTGGAAAGAAGGATGGGAGTGCATCGAATGGCTGGCTGGCTTCGGCGCTTGGGCACCCCAAAGAGGCACCGCCAGTCATCGCATGTCGCTGTGCAAATCCAGCACAAACCTATCGCAGTCCATGGTAGTAAGTCTGGTAGATGGTAGTAGTGACCTAGTAGTGCTGTTGGCTGTTTGATGTTGTTTGAGCACGAACGCTTGGAAGGTCCAGTCTTTGCCGCAAGTTGAACCTGGTGATGAGGCAAACCTCCACGAAACCAGGCCCCTGACATTCTTAGAGGATTCATTTCTATTTCACACAGCCATGATATAGAATATAGAATTATAGATTATGGAGTTCAGATGCGCAGGCAACTCAGCTCCTTGCTTCGGCCGACGGATGCGCGACTTGATCGCATTCTTGAGATAATGTCAGTGATAGTATCTTCATGTCGATTCACTTCTCTGTCAAAGGGACCAAGCTTGAGTTTCAGTAAAGGCCTGTGCAAAATTCATAAACTGCAGATTCCTACAGTCTGTTTATACACACACGATCACACACGCATACACAGATACATGTACATGTACATTACACTCACACTATAAATACATACACATACATACACAACACAATCATACACATATGTATATATATATAATAGATAAATGTATATATGTATATACATGTACACATAATCGAAGGAAATTTAGAAGTCAAACTTCCAACAATATGGACAGATGGAAAAGAAGAGGTGGGAAGAGTCAGAGAAGAGAAGAGAAGAGAAGAAGAGAGAAGATCAGAGAAGAGAAAAAATGCGAAGAAAGAAGATGCAGGTGCGCGAAAAGGTCGCGATTCACTGTGTTTTTCAAATGATTTGTGGCTCCGAAAGGTCGAAAAGTAGGCTCGCTAAAGCGGCGGGTGCGGAGCCATGTGCTCAGATGAGAGATGAAAAATTGCACGCCGTTGTGGCGCGAAGCTTGCAAGTGAAAAGCTAAAAACACCTGACGTTCGGAGCACTTTTGGAAGTTGAGATGTCGAAAAAGTGCACGCTGTTGTGGCGCGAAGCGCATTTCCAAGTCAAAACGTACAAAGCACATACCCTCAAGTTGGAAGGTTCTAGAATGGGGGCCCCCTTAGGGATGACGAACTGGGGTTCTAAAATGATAAAAAACCATTGTAGAACCCCCGGGCGCGTAAGCATTGTATAACTTTGGAAGTTTGTAAAATACTATATGATGATGTATGGTGCAGGTTTTGTGCAGGTATCTGTGGTCCCTAGTCAGCGGGTGGTTGAAAGCAATTTTCCAGTTTGATCCTCCTGTTGAAACCACGGTTTATGATGATTTACAAGGCTCGATTGCACTATGTCGGGACAATATGGCCGAACCAATGCCATTTGGCAAAAAAAACGAAAAGGATCATTTACAGATACACGGTAGAAAATTGACAAATTGATAGTTCAGTTTGTTTCTGGATCTCTTGCGAGAACATTTCGTAGCTGTACCTTTACCTTTGCATTCACCGCAGCAATGATTGCATGGTTTTTTGATTTTTTTTCGCATGTTTGCTTCTTTTGCCGTCACCTGAGGTGCACATAAAGTGGCTTTTGCATGTTGTGTCAGAAGAAGCTGTAAAATCCCGCGTCGGAAATGTACGTGCATTTGCTGGGGATTTGCATGCATTTGGGTTGTTTTTTGATTTAAGCCTGGGGCGTGGGTCAAATATTGTTCAGCTCAGCATCTCTGAAAGAGAGGGCCTAATAGGTGAAGTGAGCGGCAAATTGGTAGGCAGAAATCTTCACCAACTGGGAAGAGCTGTAGTGACAGACACATGAATGTCAGGGATAATCAACTCAGCTAAAGCTGTTTCTGCCATCTTTTGTTCTTGTGCAAGTAGACCAATGCGTGTGCAACAAATGAACATATCTAAGTTATCTAAGAATACCAGTAGTACCGCATGAGGCGGTGGCGGAAGTTTCAAAATTAGGACACCGAAAGGAGAGGTTGGTTGTTGTGAATCACGGATGGCAGAGCGAATCCACTGATGGACCAAAAGGTGGCTGGAGTTGTGTTTTTTTGGAGTGGTTGCACTGGTTGCAATGGTTGCAGTGGTCACCTGGTCACCTCACCCACAACTGCTGGATGTAGTGTGGTGTAGTGCAGCTGTAGTTGTAGTTGTAGTGTAGTGGAGATGTAGCTGTGGTGTAGTGTAATTAGTGTAGTGTAGTTGTAGTTGTAGTTGTAGTTGTAGTTGTAGTTGTAGTTGTGGTGTCGTGTCGTGTAGTTGTGTAGTTGTGTGGTTGTAGTTGTAGTGTAGTGTAGTGCCATTAGTGTAGTGTAGTGTTGTGTAATGATGTAGTTGTAGTTGTAGTTGTAGTTGTAGTTGTAAGTGTAGTTGTAGTTGTAGTTGTAGTTGTAGTAGTAGTAGTAGTAGTAGTAGTAGTAGTAGTAGAAGTAGTAGTAGTAGTAGTCGTAGTAGTAGAAGTAGTAGTAGTAGTAGTAGTAGTGGTAGTAGTGGTAGTAGTAGTAGTAGTAGAAGTAGTAGTAGTAGTAGTAGCAGTAGTAGTAGTAGTAGTAGTACTAGTACTGGTACTGGTACTGGTACTGGTACTAGTATTAGTAGTACTAGTACTAGTACTGGTACTAGTACTAGTAGTTAGTAGTACTAGTAGTACTAGTAGTTAGTAGTATAGTCGTCGTCGTCGCCGTCCGCGTCGTCGTCATCGTTGTGGTTGTTGTGGTTGTGGCTGTGGTTGTAGTTGTGGTTGTGGTTGTGGTTGTGGTTGTGGTTGTGGTTGTGGTTGTTGTGGTTGTGGCTGTGGCTGTGGTTGTAGTTGTGGTTGTGGTTGTGGTTGTG